GTGCCAGGGGAGGTTGAGGTTGGATATTAGGAAAAAATTCTCTTAAGAAATAGTAGTGATGCTTTGGAGGTGAATCTCAGGCTGTTCTCGGTCAGTCTGATCACAGCCTGTGCTCATTTTGTTGGATTTCATCTTGTTCACCATCTTCTGTGATCTCAGTTCTCCAGCCACGAGTCCACTCAACCCCATAATCTATCCATACCTTACCTCCATGTCAATTACCCTCTTCTTGATGTTGACAAAGGCTGAGAAAGGGTGTGCCTTTCATGGCCCAAAACATGCAAAACATCCAACCCAACAGCATGTGCATCTTCTTATGGCCATTCAGCATCCAGATTTGTGTGCACCGTCTAGTCAGACACCAAGAGGGGAATGTACGGCTTTGGAATGTTAATGACTTACACAGCCTCTTCTCTTCACAGTCTCTCTGCAGGCTGTGGTGAGCAACGTAGTGTCTGTCTTCATCTTACCTCCTATCTGATCCCAGGAGTCTCACGATGCATTTGCACAGTAACCCTTATCCAAAGGGAGGGAGGAGCAGGGCCTTGCTCCCAACCTGATTGGTAGGATGTTCAGAAACTATGATTTCACCTATCCTCCTTCCTGTGGGCAAACACATTAATGATTAATCTACAGAGAGAGGAGGACTCGGCCTTGTAATCCTTGGGTGTGGTGGTGTGAAGGTGGGTGTCTGATCTCTGTTCAGGCAAGACATAGACTCTGAAAGCTGTCCCCTCTAAGCTTAGAAGGTGGAGTAGTTGAGCTTTGACTGGCACTCAGCAAGGCAAAGCAGATTGAGGTTGGCGAGGAAGGGATTGCTCAGCCAAGCCTCTTGAATCCTACTATGCAGAACTCATCAGCAAATCTTCATCATATTCAAAAAGTTATGGTTGCCAGATAATGTCCTCTGTGGAAGGAAAAAGGGAAATATCATTCCAATCTTTAAGAAGGAGGGAAAGAAAGACTTGGGGAATTTGGAGTGGGGGAGTCTCATATCTGTACCTGGGAAGATCATGGAACAGATCCTTCTGGAAGCTAAGTTAAGGCACATGCAAGACAAGGAGTTTATCCAGTCCGGTGGACCTCTCTGAAGGAGTGTTGGCATCAGTGGATGAAGAAGGGCAAATTATGCCATCTACCTGAAATTTCTAAGGCCTCTGACATGGTTCCACATCACATTCTTTTCTCTAAATCTGAGAGATACAGACTTGAAGGCTAGACTATTTGGTAGATAAAGAATTGGTTGGATGGCCACAGGTAGAGGGTTATGATCACTGGATCTATGTTTGGGTAGAGTTTGGTCTCAAGTAGTGTTGCCCATCGGTCTGTTTTGGGACAGGTGCTCTTCAAAATCTTTATCACTGACACAGACATTGGGATTGAGTGCAGTCTCAGCAAGTTTGCTGATGACACCAAGCTGAATGGTTCAGTTGATATGGAAGAAGGACGACATGCCATCCAAAGGGACCTGGACAAGCTCCAAAAATGGGCCCACGAGAATGTAACGAGAGGGCCCTCTGCATAAGAAGTATAATGGGTGGATGGAGCAAGTCCCTCCAAGTCCCTCCAAGGAAGGCCTTGAAGATGACCAAAGGGCTGAAGCACCTCACAGAAAAGATGGGCAGCTGAACTTGTTAAGCCTGGAGAAAAGAAAGCTCCCAGGAGATCTCACTGTGGCCTTCCAGAACCTGAAGGGAACTTGTAAACAGGAGAAAGGCTAACATTTTAAGGAGTCTAATTGTGATAAGAAAAGGGCACATCACTTTAAACCAAAAGAGAAATTTAAGCTAGATGTTAGGAGCAACTTTTTAATCAGAGGGTGGTGAGGCACTGGAATATATTGCCTTGAGAAATTGTAAATACCTCATCTTTGGAGGTGCTCAGAGTTAGGCTAGATGGGGACCTGAGCAGCCTGATTTAGTGAGTGGAGGCTCTGATCAGGGCAGGGGCATTGGAACATGATCCAATTTAAGCCATTATACAATTAAATGATTCTGTGATCAACTAGATCAGCTATTAAACTATGTGCCCTTCCCAAGGGTTGAACTGGCCCACTAAATTAATGTGTGTTTATTACTAGGTTTTGAATTCCTAAGGGAAAGAAACTCCAAAATTATATAAGTCTTTGCTTGTTGGAATTGAATTACTTTTTTTGAAAGGGCAGAATAGACATGAGAAAAGGGAAGAAAATAGAAAAATAGAAAATTACTGATTCACATTGACTTGTTAATAATATGAAACTCTTGTATATAAATCATGTAGTTTCAAACAGGGATTCCTAAAATTAATCTGCTGATTTGTAAATGACTTTGTGCATTGAAAATATCCATCTAATCAGAACTAATCAGAATGTAATCAGAAAGATATACATAAACAAATTTACTATGCAGTAAACGATAATTTTATTTAAAATTGTTTTTAAAATGAATCTTATTTCCAGATCGAACTCTCATGTGTGATTCTATAAAGTCATAAAAATGTTCTAGGAAGGGCAGGGTTCAAATTCAGGAGACAAAGGCAGCCATCATATGATTCTGGCAATGAAATAAAGCTTTTGAAATATCAGAACATGCCATCTACTTGATGTTGCTCCTCCTACAAGGAGGAGGAGGAAGCAGCAAAGCAAGAAAACACAAGTTTTTCTTTGAAGAGCATATAGTATCTTTTGTAATAATTTTTTACCTAACCTGAGCAAAACCATTTTACTGCACTTAAATAGTTCTCTGTGCTATCAGCAAGGTATTAAACTTGCTTTCAGTGTGCTAAATACAACTTTGAACTGAACTTATCTCGTAACTTATTCTTCATTAACTGCTTCAGTGTAATTACAAGTTTCTTTCTGTTCCAATACATGTTTTGGAAATTAACATTTATGGAAATCAACCAAAGCTACAGCTGTATTAAAAAAATAACTGCAGAGAGGTCTCTAGAGGTGGTGTATGTTACTGTTTCCTGTCATTTATCAGAAGCTCTCTGCTTGAGACTGCTGCCTTTAGAGCAAGTTGATAGAACAGCTCAAGTGGAAACTTCTCACTTGCTGAAATATAAAATCACCAAGTCAGCTTGAAACACTTTAAAAAATGCTCCTATTTAAAAAACAAAGCTGAGGTAGATGATATAGCCCTCCAAGGGTTGAAGATCTATTTCATTGTACATCTGCCAGCGTGGGAGTCAAAGATTACCTCCAGCAAAGGTCTGCTAACAAACACCTGAGTATGTGATAAATCTCACTGTAGCCTATGTTAGCTGTGTAACTGCAGCCCACTATTAAGAATAAATAAGCAAACATGCCAACAGAGCGAGCAGGCAAATAATCAAATAATCTTACCAAATAACAGGCATGATATATAACGTTTAGATACGCAATTGAGTGTAACAACATAAAAGCTGATACTTGGTCATGTGTTATGATATCCAAGAAACATCAAAGTACAAGCTCCAATTCTCAAGTTGTTCCCTAGAAACTAGACTTTTGATAATTAATAAGTTGGAACATTCCTTTCCTGCCTAATTTCCAGTTAGTTGAGACATGTTGTTGTTATTTCTCTTTTCTTTTATTTATTTACTTGCTTATTTATTTATTTTTCTACAAGTACTAAAGTGAAGAATTTACTTCCCAATGTAACCTTGAAGATACAAACTCAAGTTACCCCGGAAAAGTAACACAAATTATATATTATCTGGCTATTGAATATATTCACTTTGCAATATACAAAATTCATTACTGCCTACAATTTTTTTCCTTTAAGAATTCAGACAATCATGCTATTTGCATTGCCTATTCCAAGTAATATTGTACTTTGCTTTTTTTCTTCCTTTTTCTTTTAATGTTGCAACTTCTTAATCTTTTGCAATATTTTTTCTTTTAGGAAAATAGCCAAAATAATAGTTAATCCCATCCAGTGCAGAATCATTTGCATCTTTGTCAGTTCTGTAGCAAGACATTTTTCCCTGTTAATAATAAAAAGCCCATGGTCACTCTGTATGTACTCATGTGAGCATCACTCTTCTCTCTTTTGGTGTCTTTAAAGCTCCTCTGCTGAATTTGTTACTTATTTTCCTAAAGGCATCCAGAACAGAAAACAGGTTATTTATTTTATCTCCACAGAAGCTTTCTATACATTGAAAACTATTAAAAAGCATATTTTCAAGTCTCTTCCAGATTGAACATCTCTGTTTCCTTCACAGGCCATGTTTCCAGCAAGTTTCACTTATTTTGTCCTATGGACTCTCCTACTCCTTCACTTGCATTCAAAGAGATGTTGTACAAAAACTAGCAAGTTTTTCTTGAAGTGGCCAGTATCTCAAATGGGATGAAAGTATATTCTTACTTCTCTGGACTGGAATAGTAGATAATATAACAGCAAAATGTGTTATAGAGTTTACTTTTCTCCTATAAGAATCCAAGTTAGCTCATGTTGCTTATATACTTTCTGTGTCTGTGTAGTTCTTGTGAACTATACAATCTTTTGAAGAACAGACCAGTAGATGTTCCCGTATATTTTTATGATTTAAAGTTCTGTTATTCAGAACTTTATTTAAATTTTTTTTTATTATTATTATTATTTTTACAGCTACCAGAACCAGCTGGGATCTTCACAAATGATAAATCAACGGTAACTGAGTCCAGTCATAGAGTGACTTCCATCAGTGAGATTAAGTTGAATATTGGCAGTCTCTCTTTTTTGAGTGTGTTATGTTGGAATTAGACACAGCTATTTCAGATATGTCTTTTAGCTAGGAAGTCACTGTGAGCCTCAGCAGCCATATGGCAACTTCTCCAAACATCGAATAGCTGATTTGCTACTGAAGTTTCCTTTTAAGAATCCTCAATACATATCAAAATGTTCCCTACATTTTGTCCTCCTTAAACTTTCTGAAAAAAAGTTACTTCAAAACTTAACATTTTTCAGCAGTGCAGAATTTCCTTAAAGAAAATATTTGAGCTCTGTTTCTGAAGAAAGTTTGCCTACGTAGGAGGCATTCCAGAGTTATAGGAGTTATTCCAGAATAGCCACTACTGATTAAATCCAGGAAAGAATCTTCTGAATATGAACAAATGTTGTCCACTTCCAAAGAAGTTAACGTATTTTGAAAGACATTGAGTTCATTTGGTAAAAAGTCTCATTTTCAATTAAGTTGTCCAACAATCAGTAAATAATGAAAAAAATATATATACTTTAATTTGAATCTTGCTGTAATAGAACTTAACTTTGCAGAAAAAAAAGAGTCAGAAGTCCTGGAACATTTCTGGTGTGATGTAACTGGCAACAATAGAAGAGCATCAAAACCTGTTGGACAAAAGTGATGTGTAAAGCTGAAAAACATGAATTATCTGAGAAATAATTATCTACCCAACTTTGTAATGTATTTGAATAATGTAAGGTTATTGCAGGACTTTCCCAGAATGTTAACATTTTCATTTCCATTATCTTTAATAACTGAACATTATATAGGTTATACAGCAATTACATCTCTAAACATTCATTCATTTCTGTGAAATGAACTTTTGGGTTTTAGTTATTACAGATATTTTAAGTAATCAAGTTTTACATTTTAGAAACAAACCAACATACATTAAGGAGCTGCCTGAATTGTATTGGAATGAATAACAGCTAGCATTTCAGCAGCCACCATCTGTAATAGAGCCTATATTTTTAGATATACTCAAAGGTTCTGTAATCCATTTCTCTCTTCTTTAGGTGAAGATCCACAGGCTATCAAATGCTAGTATCAGATTATGGCAACTTTTGGAACACTGACCTATTCAACGTGTATTGGAACTGTCTTTAAAAATATCGCCTATATTACTAATGAATTTGCAAATTGTAAGGTTTGCTTTCAGATAAAATCTCTCTGATGAATTCTGTATCACAGGCCAAAACCACAAAAGAAGCTCATTTTGAATAGAATTTAAATCACACCTAACTATCATTATGCATCGGAATGTTCTACTTTTGAGGGGAAAATGCTAATTAAGTTCAAGGAGGAGGTGCAGTGTTTGAAACTATTTTGCATTTGTTTCTCTATCTCTATGAACCTGAATCTGATCCAGGACAGAGGTAGAGGTAGGAGCAATGTGGAAATTGCCCACTTGGCACACAGGCAATGACACTTGTATCTCCATGAAGTGCTCCACTGCGACTTACAAGGGCTAGATGCTAGACTGGTCCCACAAAGGATATAGAAAAATGCTACTCAGACCAACACTGAACAAATCTGTAATTTCCCCATTCCCGTGATTTCTCCTCAACAACCTGGATCACAGTTCTTTTATCTCATGGATCCATCTTTGCCAAGAAAGACAAGGAAGCAAGCAAATACATCAAATAATGGCGGGTATGGAAATGCAGACTATGCTAGCAAAGATCATCACCTTCACTGCAAGACGTACCTGGGAGGGATGTGTTTGATGGCATACCCTGTGGCAATGCATTTCCCCTTGTGCAACAGTGGGCATTATAGGAGGAATATTTCATGCTTCCCACCACGTGTTAAATTCAGCTTTCTCTGACGTCATTTGCAGGCTGCTGTTTTTCTTTCTCTCACCTAGCAAGGAGTTGCTATCTGCAGAAGTGACATGAGAACAATACTTTATGTAAATAACTTCCAAGTGGAGGTAGTCATTAATGCAGACAGCTCTGAAGACAAGTGGAACAGCATTTGGCAGGAAGAGCCTTTAATGAGACTCCCTCTTAGTCTGCAGTCTGACTCAGAACATGCCTTTCTGACTTCTTTATTTTTCATTTATTTTCTTGGAATTCAATCCTTTGACCTGTAGGGCTTTTTCCTATTGCACCAGAGATTATTTGGGAACTTGTTACTAGCTGCAGTGCAGAGAGGAGATAGCAAGTAAGTGCAGAATTGAATGAGCAGAGGAGGGAGGGTGGTTTTCAGTATCCATCTCTAATCTGTAGAATGTTTGTTGCCGTCCTGTCCAAAGTCAAACTCAAACTTAAAGCTGCATCCACAGCCACATGTGTACAAGTCCCAATATTCAAAATTCAAAAAAATGATAGGTCAGTGCCAGCTTACTCTTTGTGAGTGATCTGCTCCTCTACTTCACTGGCACACATTCACCCAGGCACAGAAGCACAGCAAAATGTATTAACTATATTTCATCTGAACATGTACAGCCCCATAAAACAGTCTTGTGCAGATGCCAGCTTGCAGTGGCTGAACACAATGAACTGATCTCAGCTGAAGGCAAGGACAAGCAGCGCTGAGTGTCTCATGTAAACGGTTTTAGGGGAGGATGAAAGAACAAGCCCTCTATTATTGGCAGAGACACTGCAGAATGGTTGGGGGATGTGGATTATTTTGCTTTCAATTTTCTTGCTGTAGCATGCTAGGAAAGCAAAAGATTAGCAAGGAAGCAAGTAAATATGTATTTTCTCAGGCATATGTTACAACATATAAAAATAACAGCCAATATTTGATCCATAAAAGGTGCAATTAAATCCTCAAAGATGGATAGTTGGCAGACAGATGTTCCATTGTCTATGTTTAAAGCACAGAATCAAATAAAAACCATAGAATAGGTTGGAAAGGATGCCTAGATGTTGTCTAGCCCAACACCCACCAGCATTTGGCAGCTCCATCACCAAAGTGGTAGGAGGTATTCTAACCTTCCAGAGAAAGTTAGGGTACTTTTTGGTATAAGGAGTGGTAGTTTCAATTGTAGCACCTGAATTATACGAACAAGACAAGTCTTAGTGATGGGAAGAAGAACAGATAAAAAACATAATAGAGAAAGGAAGCTTGAAATAGAATAAGGTGTAGGAAAAATGCTGGAGAATAATATTCTATTTGTACTTTCTGAAAGATATAATGCCCATGCTAAGTTTTTTTCTTTAATACCTTTGCTCTCTGTCTCATATTCTTTTGCCTTGTGCTCTAATTTAAATGGAGGGTGCAGAAATACACTCAATAATCACGTTTCTTCTCATGTTTGATCACTGACTGAACAAAAAAGAAAAATCAGAAATGTGAGCCTGAAGAGCCAGCAATATTTTTCCAGATGCTATATTAATTCTGGTCTTACACATCACAGTGTAGAAAGCATAGACATGTTTAACACTGTATCTTTATAACAGAGAGATATTAGTCACTGGACAGAAAGAAAAGAAAAAGAGAGAAAGAGAAAAGAGAAGAAAAAAGAGAAAGAAAGAAAAAGAAAGAAAGAAATATTCAATACAAATACTATGAAATAGGATGTGGAAGAAAAAGGAAGGGCTAAGTTAAATAGTTTGCTGATTTCCAAATAGCAAGAGTAGCATAGGCTAAGTGATTTCTAATATGATAAAAATGAGAAGTTTCATAGCTTATATGAAGTGAAATTTTCCTAGAATAGTCACTGAACAGTAATCTTTTTTTATATAAACCATTCCAAATATTCTACATAACAATTGGAGTTTCCAATACTTGAAGGGAGATTCTACATAGAAAGCATCCTGAGGACAGATTCCATTGAAGAACTTATCTCCAGATTTATTTTCTGATAATTTTTTCCTGTTCTGCTGGATGCAGGGTAGTATTTCTAATTCCACATTTATTTATAATTTGCTTTTCAGCAAACATGATGTTAGTCTTGAACCAAGAAGAACGAGATAGAGCCAGTGAGTTTCCCAGGCACACATCATCAGTCCCAACAAAAGACTGGCTAAACTCTTGTGGATATTAAAATTACATCTAATTTGGAAGGAAATGCCAGAGCATTGAGATGTTAGACACTAACAGATGAGTATTTTCATAAATCTCCATCTAGTTTGGTATTCCAACATGATGACACAAAAAGCCCAGAATAAAATAAGCCACAGATAAAGAGACCTACTGTTGAAGCATCGACTTACAAGCTTTCTCCCAAATCTAGTCTAAAAGCAAATGTAGGGGTGATGATATCAGCACCAGATGTAGGTTTCAGAGAGGGCAATGCAGTTCAGCATGACTGTAGGAAGAAGTAAAGAAGCCAGAGAATTTTCAGAATTCTTTCTTAAAATCATTTCTGAGGATTTCTGAGCAAGAATACTAGCTTGCTGTTTGTTTTTGTTTTGCTTTGTTATGTTTATTTATTTTCCTCTGTTGAGGTGAGCAAGACATTGCATTTGTATTGTGAATAAAGATTTTACTGAAAACATAAGTATTTGATACAAAAGACTTCTCTTAAATGAAACAAAAAAGCAAAGCTCAAAATAAGGCCTAAAGAATGTTAATATGTTTGAAAAAACATTACATCATTCTTAGTATTGAATTTTCAAAAATAAGTTTTTGGGTGCCATATTGTTTTGAAGACTTAAGATTTTTTGTTTTGTACTGAAGTGAATTGAAAAACATTTAAGATGCAACTTGTTTATAGATACAGACATAGGAAATGATAATATCTAATTTAAAAGGTGACAAACTTGCCACAAGCAAACTGCCAGACATGGCTACAGGGATCTATCCCTTAGATATCTGAAGACCACAAATACTGTCCCTCTACATAACTTCTGAAAAGAAGATCCTGAAATGAAGCAGATTGAGATTTTGAGCATTGTACCTTAACTCTCTCTTTTAAGCTTGTAAGTTATCTGCCACTAAAATTCTCAAACTTTTCATGGATTCGTATTTTGACTGAGATAAAAAGCATCTACTGATGACCTTTTGCTAGAAACCACAACCAGCTGAAGGACAATGCACTCTGAAATGGAAGCACATTTTCACATGAGATAGTTTGTACACTAGGGAAATTACAAATTGGCAATCTATTCAGGGAGGTAACGCTCAAGTGTCAAGAGAAAAGCAATGCCTTCTTGTAATCCAGTCCTAGTTCCTGCTTTCACTAAGTTTGGAGGATCATAAGCATATATGAGGACTTCTAACAGTGAGCAGACTTTATACAGTATGAAAGAGATATCCATTCAGCTGACATTCAGGCTCTCACGTAACCCAGTGAAAGCTTGAAGTAAAACCCTTCCATGGTCAACAGGCTATACGAGTGAATGGAGGAGAGCTAGCAGAACACTTGGTTGATGGGGACATGAGGTGTAGTCACAGAGTACCCCATACTCCCAGAATTGCTCCTTTCACAAGTCTCAGAAATTTTCTGGCAAGTTTTCAGTGGCCATTCTTAATATCTGTCCACCCTCAGTGGGGACCTTCCGAGCCTTCATTCCCATCTCCTGCTGTCCTTGAACCACACAGTCCTGAATTCTCTGCTCTTCTCTTGACATTCCTCTATGTTGCCCATCCTCACCAAGATGTTCAGCACCTCAGTTGTGTCTTTCTGCTTAAACATTTCTCAGAAAGCTTCTCCCTCCACAATGGAAAAGCTGTACTAGCAAGCAGACAGATGATATCAGGATCAAGCAAGCCACAAAGGCAACAGCACAAGGATCCTTCCTAGGCAGGGCTGGGTGTGAGCAGCCGTGAAGAAGGAGGGCTGCACAACACACAGCTGACCTCCATTCACTCTATCAGGCACTTAGATCCATTCAGATCCTTGTAGGCACACAGCTTCAACCTGGAGTGATACAGGATAGTAGGTATTCACATAACTATACTGTTGTATACTACAACAGTTGTGTAACACTGAGAGATCAAGAAGAAAAACAAACAAACAAAAAAACCCCCAAATAACCAACCAAACAAAAACCAAAACTAGAAAAAAAACCTATGGCAGGCTTGATGGAAGAAGAAAACACAAGGCCAATGGCTGAGACTTTGACACAGATTCAAACTAAAAAGAAAATATTTTTGCAATATAACTTAAACTGAATTCAGGTAAGGTGTCAATGCAAATAGTGACAACTATTTGTAGAATAAAACTATTCATGAGTGGAGTTATTTGGCAATTTACAAACTCTGTATATGAAAATAACATTTCTATCCTCTCACTGAAGAAATGCGTCAAAATTAAATTAAAATAAATTAAAATAAACAATACGCTGAAATGCAAATAAAATAAAAAGCACAATACTATTTATTCTTTAGGAAATCTTATTCCCAAAGACTGATTTCACACTTTCTAGCTTTCTGACTGATGATCTTTTTGCATAACCGAGACTGACAGTAGTACTGTGGTCTCTGTTTCCTCTCTGCTGTTGCTCCTAAGAAACTTTTTCTCTTGGCAAACTTTAGTTCTCAGACCCAAGGGACCAATTGCTTCTAATTATGACAGAAGAGTCTTCATCTATTTTCATCCTCTTATTTTTGGTTTCTTCTTGAAAAATATATCAAATCTGCTTCCTTCCATATGGAATATTTCTGGAATACTGTGAGGAACAGCTAACAGTAGTCAATCCAGATATATTTAGTCTTTTAACTCTTTCTGTCCTTGCTAAAATCAAGAATAAGGTATGTGAACACAGTAAAAGTATTTTTACTTATAGAAAGGATGGCAATTTTTCCAGTTTTCATAATCTGACCCTCTTCCAATGAACATATTTATTTTATGAATCTCTAATATCTTAAACTGACAACTACTAATAGAATGCATAAACATCTTATTCAGAAGAGAAGGAAATCCACAAACGACTAAGGAATTGTTATTACACTGTTCCCATCCCCCTCAGAAAAACTTTTAAGAACTTCTCTTGAGTGAACAAAGCTGTGTAAAATTAGACCAGAGTTCATGCAGACTAAAAATAACTGGATAGTTCTCAAATATAAATAACTTTTTTTTTTTTTTTTTAATTATTGAAACACTGCTTGCTAACAACCTATATTGTCTTATTTTCAACAGAAGGAATACAAGGGTTGTGTTTAAGCTCTTAATTTTCACTGGGTCTTATCTGATTAAAAAATTATCCACATAATACTAATCAAAGGTGACATTCTATTTCATTTAATATAAATTCAGCCTATAAGAACTGCAGTTTTGTGCTCATTGTTTGGGTAATTTTGAATTTGAAATGCAAAATGAACTTCCTGACAAAATAAATTGGTTATCATTTTGAGGATACAAAGCAGAAATAATTTCCTCATAACTTTAGGAAAACTCAGAACCCCTACCAAATTTTCATATACATATTGAGTTAAATCTAAGGAATAGACCTCCAAAGAAGTTTTATAGGATTAAATTTCACATCAGTGGTACTGAAAATGAGAGAGTGAGAACAAGTTGGCCCAAATGCATTTCATTAATTCTGGGGAATTGGAGTATTAAACAGTTACTCACTGTATCATATGAAATTCATTTCATAGAACAAAATCATCTCTTTCCTGCCTTTATTTTGTTCAATTCATCAGGAAAATAAGGGTGTTTATTTCTTTAAATATACATATATATATATAAAGGATTTTCTGCTTTGCCTTAATGAATCCAGCTATATTTACTATGGGCTTTGCATTTACCTTCCTGTGCTCAGTTTCACTGAGAACATGAATTACTCTACTAGACTAACTACGTCAAAACTGCCAGTGACACTGTCCCCTGGGAGCACCCCTGAAGTCCAGGCCAAGTTGTACAGGATGGGTCACGTTCTCTCTGCAGACAGTAATGTGCTTTGAAGCACACAAGCTATATGCACCCTGAATAACACTTAGACTGAAGTCCTTTTTGCATCTCATATGATACTACCTCAAATGTGAAAGACGAGCAATAACATGACATAGCCTCCAAGATGTGGTATTTCTATAGGAGAAAGCTGTTGACATACATTACATATGTTGAAGTTTGTAGTAACATTGAGAAGTAGCCAGAATCTGTTGGGGTAGTAATAAAGGCAGTGGAGGGCATGGAGCACGGATTTTGTCCACAGTAACTATGAGAAATCCTTACTGGAGCAATGCACTTCCTGAGCTACATCGCAGAGGGAGATCTGACTAATTTGTTCCAAACAAAAATTTAAGAGAGAACTGACATATGCAGGATGCATTACAGAAGATGGGATCTGAAGAGAAAACAGTAAATTTACTGTCAGATCTCAGATCAAATTTACCTAATGGCCGCCTGCTTCTTCAGAGATGAAGATA